GGGGGGGGCGATACCACCAAAGGCTGTTGCAACAGGGCTGGGGCTGTCGACGCTGACGGTGCCACCGCAGGCCCGACCGGTACTGTCGCCGACCTCGTGGCTTTTGACGATGATCCTGACGTGGCCCTGGCAGCGGTTTCGGCATGAACATCGCGCCCTACAGGAGCTCCCGAACAGCTCGAAGCGTGGTGTTGCAGCGGTGTCAGATGCGTTGGTGGGGAAGAAGATGGGGCAGGTGGTGGCACGCTAGGAGCGTGGGAGGGCACAGGAGGTTGTACATTCGCGTCGGCAGCAGCATCCACTACTTGATTTGCTCGCAGGAGAGTGAGTACTTGTTCCAACAGCATTTCAGTACGGGAAGCCGAAGTCGAGGCGTGTGATGCAGCATGGCGTGGTGACTCAACACGTTCGTCCAACGGCAAGGAAGATGTGGGATTATCCATAACGGCATGGGCAGGGGCATGGCTTTTCACAGCGGCTGAATGTTCACAAAGCTGCATGTTGGCAAGTTTGAAAGCCAAAGAAGACCTGGTCGGTTGGCCTACATCAGCGGGAGGGCGTAGAGCAAGCGGTGAAGAACAGAGTGAACCGTCTTCTGAAGCATCCTTGCTTTCCCCCAACAACCCAGAGCTACGAAAAACACCCCGATCATACATCACTTGCCTGTTTCCGTGGCCTGATCTCCGTCCCCCTTTTCCGCCGCGACTGCTGTCAGTGCTGGTTGCCCTCCTGTTGCCCCCGCTCCGGTTCTGGCTCCGGCTGCGGCTACGCCTAGACGAAGGCGTGTTTCTCCCACGACGGTCTCCGCTCCGGCTGCGCCCACGCCTAGACGAAGGATTGGTGCGCTGTTGACGTTCTGCGCTCCGACTCCTGCTCCGGCGATGGCGCCTCGCCGGCGAAGACCTGGTGGGCTGGTTCCCCACGCCGCGCCCTCACCTGTTATCTCCGACGCGCCGCCCTCGCGAAGACTGGGTGGAGCGGTGGTGGTCGTCCGTCCCGCTCTTGGCCGTCGAATCCCGGTCACCCCAACGGTTCTCCCAACTCTTGGACACAGGAGCCGCCGATCGACTGTAGTCCTTGTCCCCTCCAGAACCATGTGCAGGGCGTGAAGAGGCCTGCCGGGGGGCTTGCAGATCGTGCTTGAAGTTGTTGTTGGAGGCAGCACGAGCAAGTGGTAGCTGGAGTCCTCCATCTTGTGTCACCACCGACGTTCCTTGAGGACCCCTATCAAAGGTGGCACGACGGGGAGCGAACAAAAGCTGGAACACGGACTGCTGCCGCGAAGAAGGCGGAAGTTTCGCGACGTAGGGGGTATGGTGAATGTGCCCGAAAGCAACGGTGTGCGGTGGGGGAAATTGCGCATGGACGAGTTGTTTTATGCCAGCCCATGCAAAAAGAGCTGCCAATTTGTCCTCATGGTCGAACGTTACTTCTTCTGCAGGCATCTCCAGCGGGCGGGACAGGAACGCTGTATCTCCGACGTGGAACTCGCACCCCGTGGATGTGGCCGCAAACGATGATCCGTCTTCAGCACCGGCCGGAAGACCCAACGTCACCGAAAACTCCGGAGTCGCTGCCCTCTCCCGCTCCTTCTCGTTCGTCGGAGAAGCCGCCATCTCCCGCTCCTTCTCATNGTTACTTCTTCTGCAGGCATCTCCAGCGGGCGGGACAGGAACGCTGTATCTCCGACGTGGAACTCGCACCCCGTGGATGTGGCCGCAAACGATGATCCGTCTTCAGCACCGGCCGGAAGACCCAACGTCACCGAAAACTCCGGAGTCGCTGCCCTCTCCCGCTCCTTCTCGTTCGTCGGAGAAGCCGCCATCTCCCGCTCCTTCTCATGCGGCGAGGCGGTACTATGGGAACCAAGGGGCACCTGGGATTGCGTGGGGGGGGGTATGATAACACGACGACGGGGGTCGGGGGCTGCTCGCGGGTCCTGGTGGCGGGGCTCCAGCTCCTTCAGCCGCGATCGGAGCGCCCCCTGCTTCGCCCTAGCCGCTTGGAGATACGCCTCACGCTCCGCCCGAGCAGCCGCACGCTCCTCCTCCTGCTTCCTCGCAGAAGCAGCCCGAGCAGCCTCACGTTCCTCCGCCTGCTTCCTCGCAGCAGCAGCCCGAACAGCCTCACGCTCCTCCTCCTGCTTCCTCGCCGCAGCGGCCAGAGCAGCCTCCCGTTCCGCCAAGCGCTCCGCGTCCTCGCGCTTCGCCTGCTCTCGTGCCTCCGCCTCCGCTTTCGACAGTGACCCCTTCGTAGAGCCAAGGTTCTTCGGCCGCCGTGATGAGTGTTGACCCTCTACCTAATGATGATCGGGACCCTTTTCTGTTGCACTACAGCGACTGGCCGTTGCAAGGACACTTCCAAGAGGTGTACAACGTCGCTAGTGAGATGGCTCTAACCAAGAATAATCCGCCATTGTTCACCCCCTTGGTCTCGGCTGAAGAGCGCCGCAACGCGCTTCGACTGTACAAGGGCAAGTGGTTCAACTGCTTAGGAGAAGACCACTCCTTCAAATCCTGTAATCGTGGTTTCGTGAACGCCAAAAAGGGGCTGGAGGGGTAAGAAATGACAAGCCGATGGCGGAATTCAGCCGGTACTACCGTCAACAGCAACCACCGTGCACCCTTTGGAGTCTCCCAAGATGTTCGTGTACAACCTATTGCTTTGGATACTCCCCACGCGCCTCAATCACATCTAGTTTCTCGGCCCGCCTCCTCGTCGTCCGCCTCATCGCCTGCTGGTAATGGACATGACAGACCCATTTCGACAGTTCCTTTGTGGTGTGGGCGACAGGGAGGTAAGACGTCGAGCGGTCCATCCCGGCTCACCTCGTCGTCTCGGGTTACAGAAGGAACAAGAACCTCGTCTTCTACTATTCGTCAAGACTCTCCTGGTGTTGTCAGCCGGGCCTCTTCTCGGATCACACACGAGCCTTCTTCTACACTCGTCGGGAACCCCGTCGATCCTCCTTCTCTTTCGCAGCTTTCGTTGTCTCGACCGTCCGCTGACCCGTGTGACAGCACCTGATACGAATGCGTCTTCCTCTGCTGCCCACCACGTGCTGACTGCACCACTGCCATCGGGATCGGATGGTAGCGCCCACCATTCTGTGGAAGGTTCGGCTCCTTTGTCAAGGGGGAGTAGTCAAGAGCGCCCTGCGTCAATGAACAAACATCCGTCTGTTGCAGGAATGACTTCTCCTAACGAACGGGTCTCTAATAGCCGAATGGCCTCTGCTAACATTGACCCCGCCGGAGCCGCCGCCCTAAGGCCGCCCTCCGGATCACGGCGCGTTGCGACTTCGCCCGCTCCTGCCTCGCTTTCTGGGTCCTCCCCGTCGGAGAAGAGGACCCGTCCGCTTGAACCACCCCCGCCTGTGCCTGGTGCCCGCTCTTTGCCCCTTCGCCCTGCACCGGCTCCGCCGTTTGATGACAAGTGCGAGTACGCTTCGGATGACGTCCTTCTTTTCTGGAAACCTCCGTCTGTGTTCTCGCAATGGACTCCTTCGGCTTTTGACGTACTGGGGGTACGTTATTCATGTGGTGAGCCACTTATGATGTCTGAAAAAGCGAAGTTGTTTGGAGATATGACGTCGTATGACAAAATTATGGCTGCAACAGATCCTAAGACACACAAGTTTTTGGGTCGAAACGTGCGTCCTTTCGACTATGCTGAATGGGAGCATCGTCGTGAAGAGATCGTGCTCACGGGGTCGTATGCCAAGTTTGCTCGAAACCATGATATGAAACATCATCTACTGGAGACGGGTACCCGCCTCCTTGCAGAAGCCAGCCCCTTCGATCGTGTTTGGGGTATCGGCATGTCTGCATGCTTTCCAGATGCTAGCGATTCATCCAAGTGGGCGGCTAGCGGTAAAAACCTGTTGGGAAAAGCTTTGAAGGAAGTTCGACGCCTTTTGCGTGATCATCCCCTCTCTGGCGAAGATTTCCCCGCTTCCAATTCTCCCACGCCCCCCATTTCGCAGCCTCCTCTCCATGGACATCGACGCATCCATGAGGTTGCTACTGCTACAGGTTCTTCGCTACGGAAGGACCCGGGCGAAGACCCAGCTTGTCTACGTTTGGACGCTCCGGGGGACCATGCTCCTGGCGTTCATCTGGTGGTATCGACATCCGCTTGTGCAGACCAGCCTGCTCTTCTCGAACACGGGCCCGATCTGGTCGGCGGCACGCTCCTGTTGGACTCGCACTCATACACCACCCGGGTCCTGCTGCATGGACGACCTACAGCCACTTCTCAACTCGCGCGAGTGGTGCTTCTGGACTCTGGGTCTCCTGCATCCTTCGTTTCCGACTCCGTGGTCACCGCCATGATAGCTGCCGGAGCCCTGACAGCTGGCAGCGTTCGTGTTTCGCCCTCTCGTCGTTGGGGTGGGTTTGCTGATGGANAATTCGTCTCACCGTAATTTTCTCCATGGAGATAGACCTACCGCTTCCCTGGCGGTCTGGGTCTGTGTGGTTCCAGACGCCGCCATGGGGCACGCCGTGCTTCTGGGTCGTGATAGCTGGATGCTCTTCAACTCTCGCGTGTTCACCACCCTCCCCCACCCTGGACCGGACGGCCGGGTTATGGGCGAGCTCACGCTCTCTCCGCATTTTACACCTGGCGCTTGCGTTTACGCTACACACGACGACGCTCCTGCCTCCTCGTTTCACCTTAAATATGCAGGGAGCTTGGGAATTTCTTTGGGGCCGGAGCCCGCACTCGTTGAGGTGTACATCGTTCGTTCTTCTGGCATGCCTGCGCTGATTGGAGAGTATCTGGTATCGTTAAAACACGAAGTGGGTGCGCTTTCGTCCCCAGATGCGTTCGGTTCCAATGGTCTCCAGCGTATTCCCCTTGCAGGTTGTGCCGAGCTCGAGCCGGGAGACGTAATTGGAGTGTCTGCCGCGCCGCTACTACGAGTACCGGTGGAAACCCTGAAGGCGGCACCATCTTCGATTCCTACCGGCCCCACAACATCTACATCACCACCTCGGGTCAACGCCGTTGGCCCCAAGTCCGGGACTCACCGCTCTCCGGACCCAGCCTCTGCCCCGCCTCCTCCGAAGCCGCCTCCACAAGAACTACTCGACCGCTTCTCTGAGGCACAGCGCTCCAGCTTCATGCGCGTGTGGGCTAGGCTGCCCGTACATATGCACGACATCGCTTTCGTTCTACACAATCCGGGATGGACACCGGAGGCTATTGATCGTTTGGCCGACGCCCTTGTGGAGTATTCTGACGTGTTCTCTACTTCGAAAACCGATTTTGGTTCCTGCATCATCATGCCGTTCACTCTTGGTGTCCCAGCAGGGACGAAGCCCGTTGCATCACGCCCGTATCGTATCAATATACTACCGGAAATTCCTCAAGAATCTCGCCACCAAGGTGCGGCCTCTCAACTCACTTCTCAAACAAGGCGTCCCCTTCAAGTACACCCCGGGCATGGTAAAGGTTGTCAATACGTTGTTAAGCGAACTCGCTCGCCCCCCGATTTTGGTCTTCCCGGATTGGGCAGCAATCGAGGACAACAGCCGTCCTCTTCGTTTGTGTTCCGACGCGTGCATCGACGGTTTTGGCTCCTCCTTGGAACAAGGACAGCTCGATGGCTTGGTGAGACCCAACGTGTACATCAGCCGCGCTACTCTTCCTGCGGAGCGTAACTGGACCGTTTTGGATCTGGAGGCTGGTGGCATTGTTTGGGCCATCAAATGCCTTCGCGGTTATCTGTGGTCGACCAAGTTCATCATCTACTCGGACCACAAAGCCTTGGAGAGCATTGGCAAGGTTGGGGAACACAACGCTAGGGTGCAACGATGGCTGGAATTCCTGTCCAACTTCACCTACACCCTGAAATATCGGAAAGGTTCGGCAAACGGCAACGCGGATTTTCTTTCGCGGTTGCCTTTACCAGCACAAGACACGGACAAAACCGGCCCCGACTGCATTGATGGTGTCGATCAAGCGGGTGTTTTCCTCATTTGGGCTTGCGGGCGCAACTATCACTCGTCGTCTACGCCGGAGGTCGGTTTGGGTGGGCTCCGTCCTCCTTGCACGGCGGGAGTCGTTTCGCCCCCAGCGTTGCAGCCCTCCGATTTTGGGGATTTTTGCCGACATCACCCGCGTCGGTTGGATGCTCTGACGGACTCAACGATTGCCCGCGAGAATTCTCGGCGGTCCCCGGGGGTCTTCATCGTCTCGCCTGTTCTCGCATCTTCAGGGCCTGCTTCCTCATTGACTTCGGATGCCTCCCGCGTGATGTCTCTTGCCGCGTCTTTGGCGACTAGATATGTGCACGTTTTGTGTCCGCTTCCGGAGCAGGGACCGCTCATTTGTTCACGGACTCGGGCCAAAACTACCGCAGTTTCCGGAGGCACCGTCACCGGTCCCGCTTATTTCGGACGCCAGCCGCGGGCTACCATTGTCCCTCGGACATCGTCGCCTGCCCGTCGCTCTAGCAGGTCCCGCTCGACAAACAACCGGACCGCCGGTCTGCTGCCGCCATCCGCAACGCCGGCACCGGCGTTTTCGTCGACTGCTCTTGCGCCACCGGTGTCTTCGCCATCAGCGGCGCGCCCTGCATCCCCGACTTCGCCTTCTCTACAGGTTTCGCGCGGGACTTCGCCACTCACGATGTCCCCTTCGCGGACATCACCACAGACTGCGGCTGCCCCAGTCGCTGAGGCTTCGCCTTCTTCCGCCTCTTCC